TATTTGTAACCTAATAAGCCATGTCATCCTTTTAAATTTTCAAGGTACTACTAATTAATTACTTATCTCAGGTAAACATGGTACAGATTCAGTACATAAGTATTCTAGCTAATGAGTTGTAACTCCAAGTTGTGTTGTACATTGTTTATTGGATACAATGTCTGCGAACTCGTACAATGAAGATTATGCCTCTCCGTGTGTAGGTGAGTAGGCATCTGTAGTTTCTCTTGTAGCGTATTTCAGGGACTTCTTTGCAAGTTGTTAGTTTCAGTGGAAGTCCTAGTTCCTCATGCGAGTGCCTTAGTAGTGAAGAACGAAGATTGAAGCCAAGCAATACTGCCAAGTCCAGAGGAGCAGCCTGCAGACACTCATCTGACGTGTACGTGCTTGCTGCTTGAGACCATGCTTTCATCACACTCTTCGAGATGATCCAGTGTCTTCGTTCACAGAGTCCCTGGGAGTTGGTCGACTTTATCCTATGGAATTGGTTGATCTCCTCGCCATTGGCTGGAAAAATCATACAATGATTAGTACTGTGTAAACTTACAATCAACATAAGACATGTTGCATATATACTGTGTACTGTAGTGTTCCTAAATTAAACTATTAAGATCACTATCTTGAATGTCCCGATGCTGGATACCTGGTCACTGACAATTGCACAACTTCCTGATTTGAAGCAGCAAACTCTTGGATGGAAGCTGTTGAGATTGCCAGCGACCAGAGTCGAAAAATATTATAACTATCTGGATAACTGACGAATTAACATTTTTTCTACGACGCCGGTACTTAAGTGTCCAATTGGTGTGTCCATCCACATATCCATTGTGTGTGTGTGTGTGTGTGTGTGTGTGTGTGGTATATATCCATTTCTGTCAGTTATCCATTTTGAAGACTGCGTGAAATTATGTTGAGATTTTAAAGTAATTTATAAATAAAGAAACACATAATGTACTTATCTTTTGGTTGTAGCTCTCCCCGGCGTGAAGTTCCAGATGAGTTTGGAGATCCTCAAGACCAACGTCGGGGTTCAGAGTAGATCCAGAGTTCCTCTTCGTTTTATCCTTGGAATCGTTCTAGTCCTCTTCAGTTGTATCCAATAATCCTCCTAAAAATATAGAATTTTTACAATAATTTTATATCTGAACTTCCATATAATGTAGTCTATACTCAATTGAGATGCATGGATGCGTTTTCAGGATACTAAAATCTAGAGAAAAGTCTGGTAAAAAAGGTATTGTCTCCCCTTGGTTCTACAAGGACGATAAAGCGTAAACAAATAGTTATCAGCATTAGCTATACAACCTAACAGGCAATTTATATAACTTACCAAGCAGGGGGGTATTGCTTTGTTGTTCAGAATGGAGTCCACGGTGTTTGGAATGATCTATTACTTCAACATCTTGACCGAACCACTCTTGATTTTGTCGTTCGCACCTATTTGTATTTATTTTTCAATTATTCTGCAATCTTGCTTTGTTCGCTGTTAACATATTAGTTCTGAATATAAATTTGTGTTAGTTTCTATGGATACGAAAATAAATTTCTATTAATTTACAGTTCAATGAACCTTCCTTCGTTAAACGGCGTGACCCAACATCGACAAAATGTAACGATTAGACGGTGCAAACAAGTCGTTATGATTTATCGTAGCGTGTAAGACAACATGAATATAATAATTCCTTTCAAATCTACTACATTACTAATGTACTAGTTTCGTAGATTTTCGGCGCTTATGAATTACGTTTCGATCGTAGTTCAATAATTTATAGTCAATATAGCTCATAAGAAAACAGGCCCACAGACGCTGTTTTCTAGATTTAGAACTGATTCAATATTCTTAATAGAATTGCATCCGTTCCTGAGTAGCAGAAAGAAGTTATTAATATTTTTCCTACAGTCGGAAGTGGGATTCCTTGCACAGATCATAGCACAGAAAGCCTTACTTAGGCACACAGTTTGTACTTTGGCACACAGTTTTTACTTTGGTGCACACCAGTATTCCAACCAAACAACACAAAATAGCGTGCTTTTATTATGTACGTAATCCGTATTTATAGTAACCGTATGAAAAATGTAATGTGTAACGCGAGTCTAAACTGCCTTTGCTCACTAGTTACACAAATAACTAGTTCTGTGAGGAAGTTTCCTCCAGAGCACTAGGCCTTATCAAGGGTGGTAAGGGTCGATAAGTGAAAGACTCTGGGTATCTCAAACTTCCATTTTATTCCCTGATATCCTTATCCTAACACATATGTTTATATATACAATATTATATACAGTCTTGATCCTGGGTCCGTAGTCCTCCTACCAGGCAGTGTCTCCGGGCTCGTATTCAGGGGTTGGGCAGAGGTTGGATCAAGTCTTGCTTGCGTCCTTACTGGCCCGGTGGTCTAGGACACTCCTAAAAGATATCCGTGTGGGTCCGCGGTCTAGATCCTTGGCACCTTCACCCCGGAATCCTCGGTCCCCTAGCTGCTGCTCTCCACTGGAGACGGTTCTGGCTTTCCAAGCACAGAAGTCAAGCTGGGCCGGTTTAATGTACTACTGCTCTCCACAGGAGACGGTTCTGGCGTCACTTGCTCAGAAGTTAGCACTCTCTAGGCAGTCTACTCGGTCTGCAGTCCGACGTAAACTCCTTCAACACTTAGCGTATACCTATGTATATGCTTTAAAGGTGGTGGGGGACTCCAAAGTCCTCCCCTCCACCTACGACTACGGACCCGCGGGCTCAACACGCCCATGCGAGGGTGTCGGTGGCTCAACACGCCCGTCCGACAGTGCTGGTGGCTCAACACGCCCGTCCAGCGGTACCCGTGGCTCAACACGCCCATCAGGTGTCCCGCGGGCTCAACACGCCCATGCGGGGTGTCGGGGGCTCAACACGCCCATCCGACGGTGCTGGTGGCTCAACACGCCCATCCAGCGTACCCGTGGCTCAACACGCCCATCAGGTGTCTCGCGGGCTCAACACGCCCATGCGAGGGTGCCGGGGGCTCAACACGCCCGTCCAGCGGTACCCGTGGCTCAACACGCCCATCAGGTGTCTCGCGGGCTCAACACGCCCATGCGAGGGTGCCGGTGGCTCAACACGCCCGTCCAGCGTACCTGTGGCTCAACACGCCCATCAGGTGTCTCGCGGGCTCAACACGCCCATGCGAGGGTGCCGGGGGCTCAACACGCCCGTCCAGCGGTACCCGTGGCTCAACACGCCCATCAGGTGTCTCGCGGGCTCAACACGCCCATGCGAGGGTGCCGGTGGCTCAACACGCCCGTCCAGCGGTACCCGTGGCTCAACACGCCCATCAGGTGTCCCGCGGGCTCAACACGCCCATGCGGGGTGTCGGGGGCTCAACACGCCCATCCGACGGTGCTGGTGGCTCAACACGCCCATCCAGCGGTACCCGGGGCTCAACACGCCCATCAGGCCCCACACCGGTGGCTCAGCACGCCCATCCGGCGGGGTCGGGCCCGAAGGCCCAACTGACTTCTCGGTGCCAAACACCCTGGTTAAGTACCCGCCGAATGGTACCCAAGTGGTGGGGGGTGAGTACCTTACCTCCCCTTCGGAGCATCTTTCCCCTCCTTTGGAGTCATTTTTATGTCTCCGAGTACCTTTGTAGCTTTAACCTAAAAATTATCCAGGGAGTCAAAAACACTTCTTTACAGTTCCTTCATCAATTCGCCATGGATTATAATTAATCACAAACGTTACAAATTTATGATTAAATCTAAGGCTTACCTTACGATCCAATTTATTATATAGTGGAGACCTAGGTGTCTACGTCGAAACGTTATCGTCAGTCCTTTATCTCATAGGTTAGCTAAACTTCTTGTTTGCCATCTCTTGCTTGAGATATTGTCGATTTGGTATAATTAATTTGTAGTACACACATTGATCACATATAAATATTTACAAAGACATAAATAGAGATGCATGGCCATGATCTTCGTCTTATCAAACCTAACCTCCGAAGTTGGGATGTGATGACTTTCGCTTCTAGCAGCATGGTCTTATCACTCCATAGAGTTATGTATGTTTTGCAAACAGGTGTTTGATAATATTGTATTGTATTATTTATTTCTTATTTAAATTAATGAATCGAACATGATGTTAGCGGCAAAGTTTCTTTGGTCATTTAGTATGAGGGATGGGTCTGTTTTGGTAGCGTTATATATACTACTACTACTGCGTTTTCAATATACTACTTAACACTAATGTGACGGGTAGTCACCAAAAATTATTTTCTAAATTTTGGGATTATATTTTAAAAGTAAAAGACCTGGTAAATGGATTTCACAATGCATATACCAGTGTCAGAACATTGGCATTTAGTAGACAGAATTCTTGATGACACGTAGCTTGCTCAATCGACCGACCCACAAAAACCGTAGACTTAGCAATTGTACTTTGGAGAGACTGAGGTCGGAGTTGACCGAAAGGAAGACACTTGGCCCCAGACTGTCATCGGGGACACTTCGCCGGTCTCCGGGTTTTTGGTAAGGCGATTACTTTATTAATATTTCAACTTTATGATTTTTGTGATTGTCCAGGCTAACTTAACTTTTTTAAATCAGTGATTGATTGATGTTAATCGTAATCATTCTTATAATAATTGATTTCATTTATAATTTGTGTGAATAAATATAACTACTATTAAATTCCTGTTTGAATATAATAACGTGTCAAAAAGAATTATAATTATTAGAGTTTTATATATAAATTTCATTTGCTTAGGCCTACTTAAATAAAAGGAGCCTGTAATTATTTTATCATCCATTTTTATTATTGTCTTTATTATTATCTTTATCATATTGTCCATCCATTTTATTTGAATAATGATTAAACATTCTTTTACCTCTCACTAAAGTATTCTTATTATTTAAATCGATCCCGGTTACGCCCCCGGTCACAATTCCAATCGTGGCACTAAGTTAATTAGTAGGTTTGTATTAAAATGATTTATTGGATACAATGTCTGCGAACTCGTACAATGAAGATTGTGCCTCTCTGTGTGTAGGTGAGTAGGCATCTGTAGTTTCTTTAGTAGCGTATTTCAAGGACTTATTTACAGGTTGTTAGTTTTAGTGGAAGTCCTAGTTCCTCAAGCCAGTGCCTTAGTAGTGAAGAACGGAGATCGCAGCCAAGCAATACTGCCAAGTCCAGAGGAACAGCCTGTAGACACTCATCTGACGTGTACGTGCTTGCTGCTTGAGACCATGCTTTCTCACGATGATCCAGTGTCTTCGTTCACAGAGCCCCTTGGAGTTGGTAGACTTTATCCGATGGAATTGGTTGATCTCCTCGCCATGGGCTGGAAAAAACATACAATTATTAGTACTGTGTACACTTACAATCAACATAAGACATGTTGCATATATACTGTGTACTGTAGTGTTCCTAAATGAAACTATCAAGGTCCCTATCTTGACGGTCCCGATGCTGGATACCTGGCCACTGACAATTGCACAACTTCCTGATTTGTAGCAGCATTTTCTTTTCGGAAGCTGTCTAAATTGTCAGCGACCAGAGTCGAAAAATATTATAACTACCTGGATAACTGACGAATTAACATTTTATCTACGACGCCGGTACTTAAGTGTCCAACTGGAGTGTCCATTTCTGTCAGTTATCCAATTTTGAAGACTGCGTGTAATTATGTTGAGATTTTAAAGTAATTTATAAATAAAGAAACACATAATGCACTTATCTTTTGGTTGTAGCTCTCCCCGGCGTGAAGTCCCAGAAGAGTTTGGAGATCCTCAAGGCCAACGACGGGGTTCAGCGTTGATCCAGTCCAGAGTTCCTCTTCGTTTTATCCTTGGAATCGTTCTAGTCCTCTTCAGTTGTATCCAATAAGCCTCCTAAAAATATAGAATTGTTACAATAATTTTACATCTGAACTTCCATATTTAACTGTAGTTTAATATTCAATTAAGAAATGTGGATTAGTTTTTCGAATACTTTTCGACCTAGATAGAACAAACATGTAGAAAAGGCTTTCTTCTTCCTTTCTACAAGAACGGCAAAGAGTCAACAAATGATTAGCCTACAAATACAATTTTAACACAACAATTTCACAGACAATGATACAACCTAACAGACAATTTCTATAACTTACCGAGCAGGGTGGCTATTGCTTTGTTGGAGGGAGTGAGTCCGCATGCTTTGGAATGATTCTTTAGTTGACAATCTTATCCACACCTCTCTTTTTTTCTTTCTCTCTTATTTGTACTTCTTTTCCAATTAATTGGCAGCAATTTTGATTTGTTCGTCGTGCAAAATATTACTTTTGACATGTTTGTGTTAGTTTCTATGGATACGAAAATAAGTTTTTAGTTACGATTTAATGAACGCTCGATTCTTGGGGTGGATCGATTTCAATCTACTACTTTTGCTATTGTACTCTTTTCCTCGCTTTTTAATGCAAATATTACAAGAAACCCACCAAACTTCTTTTATCAAGGTTTAGAAAAGATTTATGTAATCTTAAACTCTTCTTTAGTGATAAAACGTAATACATTCTATTTTTCAATAATTTCAACCATGCAATTCAACATTACAAATTTGAACGAAGACTGAAATTGGCTTAGTATTAAGCAAACTAAGTAGTGTATCTACTTTTACTTTTTATTTTAGCGCACATTGGCTGTTTGATTTAGTACGAAACATCGTTTATGTCTCAAAATATTATAAGTTCAACAAGAACATTGCATTTTAACAGCATCACTCTCTGAAAGGCACATTCAAAAATTTACAATTTAAATTCTAAGAAGAATGACTCCCAACCACATAAATAGGATGTCCAAATCAGTATCAATGCTAAAACGAGTCACACATATTCTATGGTATCTATAATGGAACCTGTAACCGTCTGCCCAAGCCTTTGGCCATTGACCAGTCCCCAGGTAGTCAAGAGACAGGTTCCATCATACAGACTATAAAAGTATCATCCGTTCAACAACGTCTAGCGGCTACAACCAGATTCTTTCTTCTCAGGGATTTGTGAAATCTAATAAACGTAAGCCGGCGATGTTTGCTGGTTTGTTTGTTGTCCGGTTGTCAATTAGACGATCATAGGCGGAGACCGGAGACCTGGGGATGAATGGGGAGTGTGTGGTCGAAGGCGGCCACTTTGAACTAGCAAGGGTAAACATTCGGTCTTGGACCAATACACCGCACTTCCGGCCACAGGTTACATCAGTGATGCTCGCTTTGTCATCACATCAGGGTAGTTATTGAAAATCACATACCAATCAAAAGGTTGCTTTTTTACTGTGTAATTTTTTGAAGGTTAATCCGTTGACTGAAAAATAGGTACTTAAGGATGAAGGAGTTAAACTTTGAATCAGCTTTCCTTGATCGTTGGTGTTTCGTTCTTTCAACGCTCCTTCAGTTATCTACGTACCGTGATGTATCTGGGTCATATTATCTATTAATAATAAAAGAAATAAATAAAAATACCCCCACCACAGCAAACCTGCAGACCAAGCAAATTTTCATCTACCTGGCTGGAATTCCACTAAATTATTTATGTCTTTTAAATTGTCAGATTTATTTCAAAGTTAGTTTCATCCAGCTACTGTAGTGCGAGTTTTGTTTGTTATTTTAGTGATTGTTTTAACTATTGTGTCAAACTATTCTAATCAAATTAACAATATGGCCATCGATAGCAATCAACAGATCGTCCATGAAATTTCTACCTTAAAATCAGAGAACACGCGCTCAAACGTCGTCAACATGAAACACGATTAAAAACAGGCAAGAAGTATTCTTGTTTGTTTAAATTGTATACAATGGTCATACTGAAGTAATAACCTATCCCTATAGGCCAACTATAATAAATTCTTCACATTGAAATCAGAAAAAATGATTAAATTAGTTTTTCAAATATTTTTTTCTTATAAAAAAGGTTTACGTGTTTTAAAACGTTGTCCTTAAAATGTAAAAATAATATAGAAGTATTGTTGGTCTGTAAAAATCTAAAAAAAAGTCTGATTACAGTTAGTTAGCAACGTCAGTAAAGTTATTCACAAACATTATTGAGGAAATTCAATATAATATTGTTCAATATTGGCATAGTTCCTGAACTGGGATTTTCCTCAATAGGTGAGTAAGCTTTATTGCAGACCAATATTCAAAGTGTTTCGAGATATCAGTTGCAGTTCTTTTATCTTAGTTATAGTTATTACAATACATCATTGTGTTAATAACAAAATAAAGCTGTAGAACTTATATCAGGTACGATACACAGTAGGGTACATAATAACGTTTAATAAAGCCCTTAAGCACGATTCTCAAGTAATAGTTTATGACGATCATTATAATAAAAATAAAAATAGTTGGTTGTTTCAAAACCGACTATTATTACCTTCAGTAATGAATTTTCCTTCAACTACTAGCTCTGAAAAGAAAATCCCAAGAACGCGAATTTCTTTTTTACCAATATTCGTCGTTGAAACTGTTTGGGTGAGAATAATTCCGAACGGATTCCATTAAAATATACATATAGATTGGGCTTTGAATAATGAAAGGACACGATAACTCCATTCTAAGATGGAAAAGACTCAGGACTCAGGTGGTAAAAAAACGGGGCCCTTGACTGAGGGGTTTTAAATAATGGCTCCCTCCTGTGGGGGGTGACAGAGTGATAGGGGGGGGGGGGGGTGAATAAATGAAGATCTGCACACCTGCCAATGGAGACATCTTGTCTAGTCAAATATTTTGTGTAACTGTTTGTAAACTTTGGAACTACAATAAAACTATTTGATCTATTATATGATGTTATTGTAATTTATTTGTGGATTAGTAATCCATTTGGGTGGTTTCCGGAAATAGAATTCCTAATACAAAACTTTTTCGTCTTTAATGTACATCTATTGGCTCACTAAACTGTTTCAAGTAATAACATTTCACATGTTAAGTGGCCTTGAATACGGAACGATAAATAATTATGCAATTCTAACCACTACGATGTCAAAAATATATATTCATCTCACATGTCACAAACATATAGTGGTATTGTGCTCGTCTTAAACAGGTAAACTTTTAAACTTGTCAGAAATAATCATCATTTACAAGTTTTGACACCCAAATAAGACATTTAAAATTTTGATCATCATTTACTAGTTTAATAGAATACTTTAAGTAGATCAAACAAAGGTAAAGTAAAAGGTCAAAGGTATTATTGTCGTTGCATTGCAGTACATAATTATCCGTTGTAGCATCTAGATGCCCCACTTACAACGTAGCGTAGCTAAAATCGTGCAAGATAAACAAACTGTTAAACCTGCTAAAGCATGTCCAATCATCTAATTTTAAAGTACCCAAAAAGGTGTACCATTGTACTCTCACTGCAACACGACGGCCCACGGGGGGTTAACTAGCTCTACAAACCCATATCAGGTGGTGCTAACATGGAGACGGAGAGAAAACTAGATTCAGCTAACAAGAGTAAGCCGGTATTTCATTTTCAAATCGGGTCGCCGGAAGACTGCCGGGGACAACTACCCCCCAAGCAGGTTCCTACGTCATGTTGACGTCAGAGATCGGGGGGCAGTTTTCCAGTCACGGACACTAAAGTTTAGTTGTCAAACAGTTCTAAACTAACCTAACCTAACCAACCAAACTTGCTGTAACATTTCGAAATTCTGTTTGATAATCCCAACACGTCTTTACTGTTATCCAACGGAATTACTTGAATTAAAATTACAATTACAAAGCATAATTTTGCTAGGAGGGTAGTATTCCAGTCACGGACACGGCTTCCATATTAGTTAGTTGGCAGATTTTGTGACGTCACGTTTTACCTGGGGGGTGGTTTTCCGGGGGATAGTATTCCGCATCCCCTTCAAATCATAAAGGATTGAAAATGTTAAATGATATTTTTATCAATCATACATTATTGGACACTGGTACCTTTTTGAAAATACAATATAATGTAATTTCTACGTCGAGATTTAAGTAGATGTCCGGACATGAAATGTCTTTTGCAGAATTTCTTACAACCTCTCAGACACAATTCACGTCTAATACCTGCCATGTTTCTATCTATTTTACCTCGTAGTTTTCCTATGTTTGACGAGGCAATGTCTCACATATCGCAACACACCCTGACCCCAAGCTTGTTATTGGCCACAGCTGAGCTTGGATGGACCAGGTGCACCCCTCCAATTACATCCCCCGTGTCTGCATTTCACGGCCAATTGCGCAACACGGCGATGATATCCCCATACAACACCCCCTCCCCCTCCCCCTCCAACACAGCGCCTTTCACTGATTACCCACTGGAGGGATCACATTTTCACGGGTCACCTTTTTTCATGTTTGTTGGGTTGCGCAAGCATTTTGCATTCAGATGTATGTTACAGTTGTTTAGGTTACAAATTGAGTGAAGAATCTTTGGATGAATATTGTACAAAGACTTAGAATGAAATTATAGGTTTTTCGAGGATGCCCCATGTACAAGTAGTATGCAGATTGCAGATTTTTGAGGATCCTTTTGGATTGATACTATCAAACAAAAATTTGCTCTTGAAATATAATAACCATTTTCTCTGAGCAAAGCTTGGATAAGTTATGTGCAAATTACAAATCGACTAGAAAAACCAAGACTACTCTTGGAGTACAATATGATTTTGATTTATCGGAGCAAAGCTCGACCGCAGTTACTATTTAGGTTAAATTTCCAAAATTACTTTTTCCTAAGAATTTAAATCTGGGGATTAACATAGAAGAATAAGCTGACCTCTAACCACGTAGAACGACATGATTAACTAAAAATTGTTATGTCAGCGTAACTAAGTGACCACAGATGCCGATTACGTAGTCACCAAAAGGTCGCTAAATCGATTTTGAGAATATT